TCTCTCTCTCTCCCTCTCTCTCTCAGCACACTCATATTTAGATTGACAAGAAATTTGACTTTCAGGTTAGTGTTGGCACACTTCTGGCATTCACAATGGTGGCAATCTCGGTTCTTATATTGAGATACGTTCCACCTGACGAGGTTCCACTTTCGCCATCCTTTCGGGAAGCTATAGATTTGGTCTCCATGCGCTATAGTATGAGCAATAGTCCCGGAGATGCTGATGTGGCGCCCGTTCCAGTTTTAGCCAGCAAAAAGACGAGGATTGAGGATACACTTATCGAGAAAGCAACTGGGCAGTTAAACAGTAAGTCCGTTTAATCGTTTATGATGCTTAAGAATTTTTCACTGTTTGCATAAGGAATATACCCATGTTCTTGTTGACTGGAAATTTACCTCACTTCATTATGGAATGTTTATTTATTTGTTTATTTATTTTTTCAGGGAGACAGTAGTTGAAAGTAAATCTTACATTTTGCTAATGTAATCGATTTCTTGCTTACAATTTCTTTGTCGAGCTATAAAGTGATCTGACTGGCCATCTTGGCTAACTGTTTTTTTGCCGAGCTAACATGTTCTTTTCGAGCTAATTTTCAATAAAATCATTAAAAGTCGCTGACACGCTGTATGTTTCCATATATGTTGTTGAATAAATAACTATCCAAATTGCTGAAATTTGAAATGTGTTTATGGAGGGTCAACATCTTTGGTGATATCATTATACACACCACAAGATTATCTTAAAAAAACTACTAATAAATTCATCATTAACTATGTAAACATCTCCACGTGGTCTGTGTTTTCTGGGTTCATTATACTTTTTTTGCTCGTTTATTTTGCAAGGCCAAATGAACGAGTACAAGCGAAGGAAGATTGCTGGCTGGTCGATCATGATCACGTGCATCGGCATTCTTATCTTTACTTTGTCCGCCTCAAGTTTGGGACTTCGTAGGTTTGTTAGCTTTGTTATATCAACTCAACTCCCGGTTTTCATTAATTTCCAGTTTTTTTTGTCAAAAATCAAACATCTCGATTTTCTCCAGCCCGTTTCGGTTTACGTTTTGTGGAATTGGTGGCGTTCTCCTTGTGTCTGGATTGGTTTCGCTCACGTGGGTAGACCAAGATGACGCAAGGCACAATTTCGGGCACACTGGAGGTACTTTTTTTTTATATTGCTGATCTATAATGAAATTTTCGAACGACAGGCAAAATAAAACTCGTTTATTTATTTTGTTGTGTCCTAGTTTGATTTCCTCATTTTTTTTTATTTTTTTTTGCTTTCAGGCTTCATTTGCCCGTTCGTTCCCGTGTTACCTATTGCCTGCATTTTGATCAACGTATATTTGTTAATAAACCTCGGGTGAGTTTTCCGACGTTAGCTATTTTCTTCATTTGAGAGCACCACTCGGAATGGCAAAATTGCATTTTTAGTCCTTATTGGTTTAACACCATAGCTATTTTAATCTCAAGGTTCCAACATTTTACCTTTTGATCCTGTGATTTAATATATTGTTGTATTTTCAGCCCTCAAAGTACTAAAATTGCAACATATTCCCAAATTTCAATATTTTCGATTATAATTTACAACTTGTTGCAATTTTAGTCATTTGAGGACTGAAATTTGAGCAAAATATTAAATCACATGACTAAAAAGCGAAAAGTGAGAAACTTGGGGTTTTAAAATTTCTATGGCGTTAAACCAACTGACTAAATTGCAATTTTTCCCACTCAAAATGTAACTTAGATAGCTAAGGCTGTGTTTGTTAAGGATTCACTCAAACCAAATAAATTCTACTCAAAATCTAACTCAATTTTAACTCAACTCCACTATCTTCAATATTATCAATATTATATTAAATAATAACAACCAATCATTTTACACATCATATCAACTTTAATTAACTATTCATCCACTCACATAATTTTAACTAACCATCACATCATCTCATCTTTCTCTTACTTTATTTTAAATATTATTTTAATGTAAAATCAAAATCCCACTAATAACTAACTACACTACTTTTTCAAAATTAACCCTAGTTAACTCAAAAAAATTCACATTGAGTTTAATTCACTCAAATTATTCCTTTAACAAACACACCCTAAGCCTCGAAAGTTTGTCGTTTAACGAAACTACATTAGCATTAATACTGTTTATTATATATCTAATTAACTGTGTCTGAAAATATGCAGAGGTGCCACGTGGGCACGCGTGTCTGCCTGGCTGGCCGTTGGGGCACTCGTTTACATTTTTTACGGCCGTAAAAAAAGCGCGTTGCAGGATGTTGTTTACGTCCCTGCAGCTCATCTGGATGAGATATACGAGAGCCACAACACTTTTACGTGATACGAAAAAATCTCTCAAAATCGAAAAAACTAAAATGTAAAAAGTTCGATTTAATCTGTGTTTCAAATCTCAGAGACACCAATAATTCGTGTTATGTTTTCGAATTTGATTGCATTTGTATTTGTAACTTATCACGTAGTTCAGTTTCAGTTGTAGCAGAAAGGAGTAAAGATTGCAGAAATGGAGTTATTGTCAAATTGTGTAATTAAGTGGTTTTGCTTTTGTTCCTTCATTTGTAAATAGTGCATAACTTGGTGGTGAAATGGGTGTTTGTAATTTTAAAGCTTTTAACATTTTTATTATTTGTTTCTTTTTTTGATAGTATATTTATGTGGGAGAAAAATATTATAAAAAGTCTTTAGATTTGTTTTAATAGATGTAAGAGTTCTTAGAAATTAATGTTTGTGATACTAATTAGAAATAGGTGAGAAAGACATGAAGAACGGATGAAATATAAGTTAAACTTATGTTTTGATCACATTAGTTCAAGTGTTATTTTTTTTTTAAAGTTGATATTGTTTTTTAAATTATGATATGTTAGCATGTAAAGTTACTAAAAGTTATTGTGTTTTCTAGTGTATATTGATAAATTTGTAAAGAATGACATAAGTTTGAATATATATATTTTCCTTCAATAAAATGTAGAATTTGGTTTGATTAAACTTTTTGGAAATACTATGGTTCTGTTATGGAATCATTTCGTTGGAACTTATAATCGTTAGATCATCATGTAACCATCGGGGATAGTTGATCTAACGTTTACGAATCTCGACGGAATGGTTCTATAACGGGACCGTAGCATTTCCATAAACTTTTATACAAATTGCTTTCATTATTAAGCAAACGAAAGTTCAAATAGTTTTACTATAAATTCAATTAAAATTCAAACTAGCTCCAATAACTATATTTTTACCCAATTTTTGGATTTTTCACCTCCATGTTGTATTTTATTCATTTACCAATTAGTAATGTTCCCCTACTTATGGTGGACACATATTAATATGCTCACGATTTATGTGACATGCACACATTGATCATATATTTTTTTGAACATATAAACATCACCAATATGTACAAACATAAGTGGTCGGTATATTAATATGTGCCACCGTCTTACCAATTTCTACAGATAGCTTTGGCGGCCTTTGACCAATGGTCCTGCACCACCGCAAACGAAATTTCAAATTAAAGACACACACACACACACACACACACACACAAAATCAAATCGAACCGTATTGAATTGGTTTTCCGGTGTTGACTCGTTTTTCTCAGTCATGTCTATATAAACCGAACACCTTTCGAAATTTAGCGCCTTCTCGAAGCGTAGTACCGTTTAAGCTCTGCCCACAAACTTCTGCAACTTTCAATCACTGCGACTCTCTCTCTCTCTCTCTCTCTCTCTCTCTCTCTCTCTCTCTCTCTCTCTCTCTTTCTCACACACACACACAGTATACGTGCATACAGTATACATACACAGGCGCTTGTATCTATACACCAGTTTACGCAACGCTGCTAGTGCTCGTCTTCGGAATTGAGGTAACAATGAGTACCCGTAGAAATCGTTGTTCGTTCTACTCGGTTAGCGCAACTTCTGACTGTATAATTTCTGCAATTTTCCGTTTCAATTTTCGAATCAGAAGAATTTATTTGCGATTCGAGTTGCAGCAATTAGCGGTAGGGTTTATCTCGTTTGCTGTTCAGATTCGTGATAATAATTTTTCGCAGACCATCGACCATCAGCGTGATTCGTCACTGCATCATTTTATTTTCATCGTCTTTGTTGTCGTTGGATTAATTGCAGAAGTTGATATGTTGATTATGTGAAAATTGATGGCACGAACCATTTAATGTTATGTTCTTCACTTTTCCCCAAATATGCAGTTTATTGGATTTACTGTTATGTTAAATCGGAAATAGTAGCATAATCTCTGTTATGTCGAAGAGCGTGTTGAATATTAAAATCTGCAGCCGAATTGCCGGAGATGGTAAATGATGAAATAGTTAAGGCTTGAATAACTTACCTGTAAACTTTCAGAACATTTTTATCTAATCAGCAGAACACATGGTTCAACTAGAGGCTTCTGATGCAATGTGCTGCTTGTTAACTATAACAGTATATAGCTACTACTACAACAACAACAACAAAGCCATTTAGTCCCAAACAAGTTGGGGAGATTTCTATTGTGTTTCATCTCCATAGAACGGCTAGGTTTTACGTTGGCTCGCTAAGCCTATCAACAACAAAGCCTTTTAGCTACTACATTCGTTTTTTGGTACTCTGGGATTCTGTTGACCATTGAACTACTTTCTGTCAGAATTTATTCAGTTATACATTTGT